GATTGACAATGCGGTTAACATCTGCACCGAGGAGGGACTTCTCAAGTTCGGTTGAATATACACCATCCTTGAGTGGAATGAAACGATTCTCTCTCGTCACTGCGATGTGAATTGGAATGAGGCAGAGGATGTCCACCAACCATTCCCCGGCTCTGAACTTCGACATGCTCCAGTCAGCAGCTCTAAGGAGGCTATTGGAAAAATCGGAAAATGTAGTGGCAGAGATGGTCATTGATTTTAGGATGGTTCCCGTTGGCTTCTTTGACGTCCTTTCAAAGTTGTAAATAAGGTCGTGGAAGTGCGGTGAGAACATATGATGATCCCGATTTGTAATGAACACCAATGTTCGCGGACATCTGTTACTGGACGACGTGATCGTCTCCCGCTGAACGGCAGGGATAACAGGGAAACGAGTCCACACGTCGGCGTGACAATCAATGAGACAGTTATGTGCAGTGGCGTTCTCGGACTGAAAAACTCCTCCTCATCCGCCCTTCTCTTTAGAGGTAAACTCCGTAGCCCTGCGAGTGGTGTCGAGAGCGAATGATCGACAAGAATTTGAGTCGATGTCAAGCGTAACCAGATGAACAATGCTCCTTGGCCAGAGATTAATATATGGGCTGTTATCAATAATTTCGTCAGAGTTCGTAAATACGAGAGTGACTGGACTTACATGAGTAATATTTTCGTGTCTCCTCGAGACGGATTTGATGACGAAGGTGTACCTATGGACTTGAGATGAAGGCGAAGTAAAATAAGTGCGGAACCACTAATGCATGAGACCCTGTTTGCGAAAGATCATTGATTTCGGTCAGGCAAGACAATTGAACTGCCAGTGACTTTACTCCAAAAAGTGTATACCATTCCTCTGGGCTTTCATGCGAAATTTTTCCTTTGCTGATCGATTTCAAGGTTTCCTTAACGTGTGTCATGTCCTCGTGGATATTGATATTGATGAGAGGAACACGCCTTGAAGGGCGATGAACTGTGGGCACACCAGATCTCACACAGATCTGGCAGCCAAGCACGGAGATCTCACACAGATCCCGATTCGCACCACAGCTCAAGCGCTCGTCCTCAAGGACTTGAAGCGATGAAAACGGGTTGTAGGTTGCAGACCGTTGTAGTAATGCCGAGGTCACAAGTGTGACGGGCATCGTGAAAATGCTGCACCACTGCTTTCCAAATAAGTGGGATTCGTCCACCATATGATTCCGATCTCTCACCTTCTGTAATTAGCTTCTTTTCTTGGTTCCAGACTTTGAGTATGTCAGACAGTGCTTGTAGCTCTACCCTCCTCACTTAGTAACTGCCTTTGGTGTAGCCGGGTGGCGAACGGTGTAAATAGGTGGAGCTCACACGCCTCCATCACTGAATGATGTCTTCTTGCTTGTGAATTTGTCGTTCTGAACATCTGCACACATGTCATTTTCTACCTATCTGCTTTCATTCAATCTGGTATGTGTCTTTCACTTTGGCTGTCCTTTCCACTTTGACCATTCTTCAGAGCTTCGCTCCTTTGATTCTGCCCTGGGATACAAGGGCATTGCATATGTTTCGGTAAGTGTCCTCCAGTCCTTGTATTCCTTGCATTCTGACCTTTTTTTGGAGACTGTCTCTGTGGCTGTCACAACCGGCCGTTGAAATGTAACCTCATGACTTAGTACCAGCTACATATGTCCATGTATGAATGTACAACTTGTTCAGCTCCAAACTGGAGGCGATACATACAGTGCGGCTTGGAAGCTAGCACGGACGCCAATGGTTCGGGTGTAGCAAGTTGTATACTAGTACTGTGAGATGTACAAGCTCCTGGGAGCCGCGCGCGTCATGATACGTCGCCTCATCTTTACCAGCAAGTACAATTCAGTTACCCTTCTCGCCAAAGTCAAAGGCCCTGGATAGTAACCTTCCCAATATTTTTATGGAAGTGCTGCGCAGTCAACACGCGCCTTACTCTGCCTCGGTGCTTCGAGCTGTTTGAACCATGTCAAGGACGAAGACGTTACAAATGTCGCTACCTTTGGAGTGCGCGGAATTCATCGTCCATTACTCGGAGATGAAGAGTTTCGGTGAGTTCATACCACTGCGTCATTGCCTGGCACTTAGTGTGATCTCATTTCTCTTTGTTCAGGGAAATGACTTGGCAAGCACATCTTCAGGGACACGGATGCCGAGATTCGCAGTCACAGTGATGTTCTTGACAACCTCATGCAGCAATTCCGAGACCAAGTGATTGGCGATGCCGTGATCATCCTGGCAGGTTTAGGTAAGGATCAGCCTCACACTCACCGTCAAACCTCTGACATTCCATGATCCGTGACCTAGCCGAGGATCGGGACCTCAGGGACATGGAGTATGCAGCTGGTGCTGGACTGAATACCTTCAAGTGTTGTCTGCCAGATACTCGGAACGAGCTTTTGACGGAGATCAAGTCTTGGATCAGCAGTACTGAGAAGGACGTGCCACATGTCTTATGGTTGTCTGGCACAGCAGGGGGAGGAAAATCAGCCATTGCCCATACAATAGCCAACTAGTCTAACGAGTTTGGGGGTCTGGGAGCATGCTTCTGCTTCGACCGTACACGGGGAGCAGATCGACTCCACCAGAAGATATTCACCACAATTGCACGTGACTTGGCTGCGCAGTCATGACTTCTTCGTCGATGTGTCTTCGGCACAGAGCAACCTTGCCTTTACCTCGCTTCTGGTCATGAAGCGCGGACTTCGCTTCATCATCTGCTCCTTGAAGAATTCGTACTTGCCTAACTCTTCTGTCCCTGATTTGGAGAAACGAGTCAAAGAATCCATTCTGGCTGAGCTATCATACTCATGTTGATTCTGGGGAACTCATGTCAGCACTACGTCCTTCGAATCGTCGCTCGCTAAGGAAGTTGAAGCTTTCTTCGATGGAGAGCACCTCCTTTGGTGGTTGGAAGCACTGGCCCTGACGAAAACCCTCGGCGGCTCTGTAGTGACCCTCTCATCCATCGAAAAATGGTTTTCAGTGCGTAACTCAAGCTTATTATTTTCCCAATGAAATCTTACGAGTAGCGGGGTGGTCGTAGGGTCACGCTGAGTTCATGCATGTTAGTCACGCTACCAGGGATACCATGTGTTTCGTCCGACAGACTTTGATGGTTCTCGAACTAATCTTTGCAACTCGTGCATCAGGCATATCTACGTGTTCAACTTGGAATCAAGGCCTTGGATGGTGCACATCACGAAGAAGCTGCTGACCATTTTGCCACCGCCCTCAACTCCTGCGCCCTCTCATTGAGTTCACCCATTCATTTTATGTACGGGGACTTCGTGGTGGTGCGTGAATAACCGTGAATAACTTGCAGACTGCAGATACAGTTATCATGTGCGTTGTCTCTCGCGGTCGCGTCGTTCTCTATGCTGACTTGATAGGTGTACAGAAACTCTAACCCTGGTATGGGCGTCCGTGTATATTTCATGGTCTACCAACTCTGTTGCGAGGAGCACAAGTATCTTGCTGGACTGAGGCACGAGAAGAAATCTTTCGAGAAGTTGATCAAGGAACATGGAGTACGTCGCTTTGTTTCACTATCTTATGCATGGTGCGAGTTGTTCATTACTATGTCTAGTCTATGCTCCTGCCGATCTTCGAGGACAAACACACTAGGAAAAGCGATGCAGTCATCAAAACAATCAGCACCCGTCTCGCAGGCGGAAGGAAGGGAATGACGAGGTTAACTCGGTTGCATTGTCGCCAGACGGAAAACAGATTGCATGTGGTTTAGATGATGGAACGATCCAGGTGTGGGATATCGAGACTGGCGAGGCATTGTGACCCCCTCTTCTTGTATGGAATCTGAATGGTAAGCCTCTTGTCTAGAGTAGCTTTCGTTGCTGATGTCATTTAGATCCTGCCATCACTCCTGAGCATTTTGCGCAGACGGCGACTGGAAACCTCCATTTTCACCGAGGGAGATGGCAATGATGGACGGCTATAAGGAAGAAAGACGTCAGGCATCTAGAGACGCTGTTAGACAAACACGATGTTGTATGATCAGCGACAAAGAAGTGCGTCGTTTTATATTGCTGTCATTTATCTACTGACTACTGCTATCCTTGCTCTGACTTCCTGCACTCACTTGACGGGTTCCTAGATCCATACTTTGTGTGCCAAAGTCATCATACCCATTGCCCACCATTCGCATTTCGTGAGTGTCAGAATGGGATCAGCAGCACTGAGGAGGGCGCTCCACACGTTCTATGGTTGTCTGGCACAGCAGGCAAGGGTAAATCGGCTGTTGCCCATACAATAGCCAACTGGTATATCGAAAATGGTGGTCTTCGCTCGTGCTTCTGCTTCGATCGTAGGCAAGCACTTGTATGGTAATATATATCACATTATTATGCCTCGCTTTAATCTGTATCATACCCAGCGCCATCAAAAACTGGTTTTTGTATGTTAGCAAAGTCTTTCAGAACAACTAGGTGCGCAAGATGCCTGTGAGACCTTGCGAAGTTAGTGAGCCAAACGGGCAGATGTTTCATCATGGCATCTATGACGAAGACCAGGATCCTCATGATGGGTTATGGTTGATGAGTAGACTCGTATTTGGAATTTGGTTCGCCTCCAAGAGGCATTGCCATCTCGTACACTTTTGTACCATATGGTTCACTTGCTTCTCATCTTCTCTGCTTGCTTCCACCACATGTTAATCCTCCGGCATGTCTCCCGATCAGGTACCAACCCTTCTGATCACTCACTGGCACTAGAAACTGGCAGGCACCAGCTTTCTTTCATTCAATAATCTTCTGCTAATTTCTCCCAATTCTCTGTCTTCTGGTGCGTGTTTATCTGTAATTTTCACTGTTACACATCTAATCCACTGTCTCTCATCAGAACTGAAACCATAATCAAGATTGTAATTCCAGTCTACTAATTGCTGCTTTCCGGTGCGCATAGATTTATAATTTTCACCGCAGCATTGTATTCAATCTTCCCTCTTGTTTGTCAGTAAAACCATGTCAGCCCATCACCAGTGTAATCAGTGTCTTTCCCCTGGCTGTTTGTCATTCTTCCCCCAGCCTGCAGATCCATCTAGAGTATGTTTTTTTTCGGTATAACATTCCAAGTCAAGCCTCACTACAATCAGTGCTATTGCGGTCATTCTTCAACATCTCATGACCAAAGTCCACCCCCAGCAGAACCTATGCGCCGTCCTTCATTCCCACCCAGAGGAGGGATAGGTCCATGCTCTGAATTTCGAAGTGTTGGTAACATCCAGGTATGCATCACAGTGCAAGCTTTTCATCATCTACTTATGTGTTTAATCTTTAGATTGAAGACTATTTTCAACTATGTACATGTGGTCAGCATTACAGCGAGCATGCGCAAATAGGATCTGTGGCACCCCCCCAATCCAGCACACTGGTTCGGCCACCACCCAGTTCACTTGCTATCCAAAATCAGCCATATCGTGTTCCTTCCACCATTTTGCCACCCAACAGTTCCACTCTACCGTCTACAAACCATAATTTCTTTTCTGATCTCCCAGCACACTCGATTCCACTGTACCAGTCTCCTGCGATTTCTGGACCTTCGTTGGTCACTGGATACACACCTGCCCATCAAGCTTCCCAGCTGCAGGTCACCCATGGTCATACCACCTTTGGAGTGCCCATGTCAGGTGTTTCTATGACTACTAATGGTTTACGAGGACGCACTCGTGGCCGTGGCCGTGGAATTGTCATTAGTGCTCCCATGCGTACCCTATGTATCCAGTTAATTCTCATACCTCAAGACGTAAGTGATATGTGCAACTGATTTTATACTCACTCTAATCTTATGTGCAGCGCATGCTGGATTACACATCTCAATATGATGAACACAGTCAGGTTCGACGTTTGCGGAGTGGGGAAGAACTGGCCTCTGATCTGCAGTTTCTCACCGAGCGAGGACTCACACGGGCTGTCACTCTTACTGGACAACGTGACGCTGATTCTGTCATGAATCAGATTCTCCATGCGGTGACGCAGATGGCTCATGATGGCGGGCTAAAATTTCCAACATGGGAGCCTGAACCTCTTTTATTAGCCACTGATGCCCCCAATCGCGAAGTGCGACTGCAGTTCCATGGACTGCCCTTCAGATTCTTGCAGCCAGGCAATTCCAATGCGACTCAGGGACGGAGACATCTCAAGGTAGATTCCAGTTTCTGTTGGCAAACATTAGAAGCTGGCAAGTTCTTCAAGAGGTGTGAGCGCATTAAGAGCCCCGAAGATTCCAGTCTATCGCTTGTATACCTTTGTACGTTGGCATGACTTGGCTCAGCATCATTTACTAACCCAATTGCTTACAGGCCCGAAAGGTGGGGATGTCATCGGTCCATTGATCAAAGGGTCTCCATACCAGCACCACTGCTTTGCCAACCGCATTATTGCCCATCTTATTCAAGGTTATGAAGACCCTCCTGACATCCCTAATCGCTTCACAACTGTGCCGTGCAATTCTGCCTGTCCACCAGAAGATTCAGTTGACCCACTTGAACTAGAGGCTCGCACTCCAGCACCATCACCTGCCATCTGTACTCGGTCCATCCCATCGACACCTGCCACAAGTGCATCGGCTATCAGTACACCATCTTCTGCCTCATCCGCCAGCAACAACGTGTCAGCGTCGAACCCAGTGCCACGCTATCACAATCGTGATCGGTCAGCATCCCCTGGACATGCATCTGCTGGTAACACCAGTATTCTGTTTCATCGTGAATCACAATCTCGCCCAGCAGTTCAGGAAAGACTTATTGACCTGTGTCCTTTGGTCCAAATTCCTCGTCCACGCAACGGACGTCCACGGTCACCTTTACGTGCCTACCCTCAGCCTTCATCATCACATGGTTCTATCACCCTACCACCTAATCAGTCGCAACCTGCTGCAGCTTCTCTGGTGGACACTGTTCCGGATGGCCTACCATCTTCTGATAATACTGGCAGCACGGTCAGTATTGTTCGCCGCAGCCTTAGACAGGAAACCCGTAGGCATGCACAGGCACATCACGACCCTGGTTCACCAACTGTCCCATCAGGCACTATCTCGTTCACATCAATTGATGATCTTTGTAACAGCATCAATGCATCAGCCAATATGGACCATTCCAACATCGTACTGCAGATTGAAGCAGAGTCCCTTATCCATGCTGCCACTGGACTGGTGGGGTGGCTTAAGCACCAACGCCTGCACGCTGATGACCCGCATCCATATAAGGCACCCAGTAATGCATCAACATTTCTCATCCATCCTGATGCGCCTGAAGATCGGCTCAACACATTTTCAATGATCTGGCAAGTGCGGGCGTACGTTAACTCTGACACTTCATAAATACACTGGCTGACCAACACTTGTTCCTCCACTAGCGGACATGGGGATGCTACAGATAGCATTGGCGATGGGGTCTTGCGCCAGGTCCTTGAGATTGCCCTTGCGCATTGTATATCATGGAAGCCTGCCGGTGACCATAGTGGTGATTGGATCCTGGCAGATGCTGATGGTGATACTTGCGAGACGCTGGATGATGGATATGTGTCCCTCAAGATTTCACACTTTCCCTCTGAGGACAAGCTCGATGTAGTGTTCGCCCTTGGACAGCTGGCTGCCATCTATATGCTGAAAGTTGGCAATGGACCTGATCCAATCTCACCTGCACTGCTCGAGTGCGTTATAAATGGTGTTGATTCCATTGTGGACCTTCCCTGGATTCGGCATTTCTATCAATCCCTTAGCCCAACTCTCTCTCTACTGCATCACCAAAAGTCCCAAACCTAGATAAGGTATGCTCAGGTCTTATCATCCGGTATCAGCTTCACCATAGCCACCATGGCCCATCAGCCCAGCCCAGCCCCAGGTCATCCGAGATGGTAAGATCATGAAACTGAATTTTTGCTCATTTAACCATCAGCTGATGGGTCATGCATCATGACTGACATATGATGGCTGCTGAGCAGGCCTGAACAATTTCCAGCACCTTATAGTGGCTTATTGCAGTGGTATGGTAGTACATACTATATGACATCGGCTACGTCGCTCAGCAATTCTTTAGCTGTATCAACATCCATTTGAAATCTCCGTTTCGCGAACCACGAGAGCAAAGCGATGGCAAGATAGAGCTATGTGACACTTCGGTCTGGATGATCAGTGGGGTGCAAGTTGAGGGCCCCTTGAAAAAGAGAGATGGGGATGTCGAGGTCGAAGTATCTTCCGTCCGCTTGGCAACTAACAGACTTTGCCACGGCTAGATTGAACAGCGCTGCAGGGCGGTAGGGATGATCCATGGGACAGAGATCCGAGGCCCGTTCAAAGTGCTTTATGGATTGTTCGAGATCCCCGCTGTTCTGCATCCTGCGGTATCGTGCGAGAAGACGATGTCCGGCGTCCGTCATCAGTGCTAACACTTTCATATCGCTGCATGTAACCTGCACGTTGCAGCTGTCACGTGAACCTCGCAATAAACCCTGACGTGAATCGCCCTAAGCAATTGGATCCATTTAATATCACTAACTAGAGACTCTGTCAGCAGACGCCGCAGATGACTCGTGTATTGCTGGAACTCACAGAGTAAAACGAAAAATGAACACTGATACCGTGCTGGATAGAGTCTAGTTGAAAGAAGAATAACGGGTAGTAGAACCCGATCTGGAAAAGAAAGCCTCTGCAGAATGGTTATTTGGAGAAAGTCAGGAATGTACGTTGCAGGTCTCACCCTATTATTAGGAGCACAAACGGTACATCGTGAATACATCTTCTAGCCGCCACGATATAGTTCACCGGTATTGCCGGCAGATCAAGGTGAGTTCACATGCACAAACACGCAGTTAAGAGAAATAAGCTGATCAACCCTGCGCTTATACGGATGCCGTTGGAAAAACCAAGAGGACTGTTGAGGAGGTTATTGAGCATGATCGGATGGATGATAGCACCTAGCGATGAGCCTGTAACGACGAACGTCATGACCAGTATGGCTTGGGGTGAATCATCGATATCAGCCGAGCGGAGATAGATATCACATACCAGTGATGACGACTTGTTGCACTCCACCGAGTTGCATCTCTCCCGGGTGCTGGGTGGGTTTTCAATAGCCTGGCTCCTCACTAAACAATACGCACATTATCAGGCATGTGGATGATTGGTGTTTCATATACTGGGTAGCAGTATCACGAGGTAGACAATTGATAGCAAGTGGTGCACCAGCGAAGACTTGATAATGAATTAGAGATCATATAATACAAGACCAAATGATTTCTCACCATGCTGTGTCACATAAGCCGTGTCGGGTGACATCACTGAGGCTGCAGTGAGGCGTTGGAATAGAGGCAATGCGCATATACTCACCTTTAGGTATTAAATGCAGATACACTGTGTGGAGAGATAGTAAGTACACTGTACGAGAAGGGGTGGACAGTGTTACCTTGAACAGAAATTCAGGTCATAAACTATGACCAATAGCCGCAAGAGTGGTGGTGGTGGTGGTGGTGGGAAGAGCAGTGGGTACTAGTACCGGTTGAAGAGCGAGCCCAACCCCAACAGCGCAAAAGTGGCCAAGTGGCAAAGGGTACCAAATAAAGGACTTAAGAAAATCGAGCGTGCACAGAAGAGCAGTGATACGGATTCACACATTTGGCACCGATATGGTTTCAACTGACCTGTTTTGTTGTATTGCGCATACAACACTTATTGTGAGACCCAATCGACGGGGAGGCGTGCTTGGAAGTTGGCTGAGTCCACATCGTGAGGTAGTCTGGAGTTTGCTTGGGTACGTCTGGCATGGACATCGAAGCCGTAGCGGTAAAAGAACAGGAGTCCATGATGGACTCGACCGTGACAACTTGAAGCCTCTTCTGTTAACCGGGCATTCAAAGTGGAGTCTGGACTGTATGCATCGCTGATTCGCAGAGAATATCAGGGAGGATCAAACTTACAGAAGTATATCAGGATGTTATCATAATGACAAAAGCATATCATTTGTGTAGCATACACGGGAACAACGGTAAGCTACGAACTACTCGACGTCATAATGATCAAGCGCTGGCGTCATCGTCTCAGCAGCCATCACCCATGATCCAGTAAACCTCGTGACCGTCAGCCTAATAAGGCAATACCGGTTTTCTGGACTTTTGGTGATGTGCCCGTGGAGTATGGATCAATGTCTCACCAACCCGAGGATCGTGTCAAACTGATGCGTATCTTTCATGCACGTATGGATTCATCAGTAAGTAGTCCTAATATCATAGCTGCCATTTTCACACTGAACACCTTCAGTACAACGAGATTATGCAAGCCTCTGAAGACCAATGGCCCCAGATCAGGCGTGATTTCTTCTGTGGTGCACTGCTCGGACATCCAGCTGAAAAGTTAACCAACTCTCGTGAATTCCATGCATTCAAGAACGGCTTTGATAAGTTTCTGACGTTGTCATTGCCATCTCTATGTCATGTGAGAATCACTATTATCCCCGGCACAGGCGCTTGACATTGATCCGACCTTTAGGCATTGGCTCCAATGTCTAAGACATTGTTTCAAGCCATATTCAACCGACGTGTCACAGCTGAATCACTGATCCCACTCTTGCGATTTGAACTTGATGGCGATGGAAACTTTCGGGCACAAATGTCTCCGCTGTTGCGTTCATTCGAGGATGCCTTCCATCGCTATCTCCGGGGTAGTGGTCGTCCAACGGACCCATCATTGGCTGCATTCATCATTCACGATGATGCAGCTGCTGATCCCAACTATCGTGCTCGACGTTTTGTCAAGGTCTTGAGTGGAATCAATCTTCTGCCACCAACCACACTTCGTATTTTCAAGGTGATACACACGGCACCCATCCCTGCAGACTGTACTTAATGATTGATGTCTAGATTAATCTAGTGCAATCCATCCCTGATAGTGCCACCTTTGGCGGTCAATATAATGTAACGTATTTCTTTCGACAGCTGCTGATCTAACCTGTGGCTCCGGTCCTACAGATCCACCAGGACATCATTCCACCACTCCCGCACACTTGTCTTTACAAGTTGGATGTCTTCATCAACCAGCCACTCATTCAGTATCTGCAACACCCATCTGATGATCCCAATGCATCAACTGTGTTGGATCGCTGCCTCCATTATGTTTTTTTGGAGGCTGGCACAGATGACTTTAACGCTCGAATGCCCATTTCAGTATAATGATTTTCAAACGCTAACTAGTCTCAACCTGCATACATTTTCACTCCAAGTATCCGAGTACCACATCACTGACTCTCACCTGCATATGTTTCAAGTTTTCATGTACTTCTCGCAGCACTCCTTTCGTTTTCCTTTCATTTTGCTAGTCGTGTTAGTGTGACCCGATGTCACCCATATATGTTGCTGCCCCCAAGTTTCTTGTACCATCAGTCCTTCTCAATATGGACTGCACGCATTTTCTCTACTAACCTGTTCATTCAAGTTGCACGACTGCTGCTTTCATTTTCTCGTACTGCAACATTTCCACTGCTGCTCTTCTACTACTCTTCCCTCCGTGTCTTTCTCCACGCATCAGCGGCGCCCATATTTTACCTTCATCGCAGCGCTGATTAATTTTGCTCCTCCTGCACTGTTCTCATACTGCACTTCCCTGTCTTTGTCCACGTCATCAGCCCATCATGATATGGTACCTTCATCATAGCGCTGATTAATTTTGTTCATATGTCCTGCACGCACTGTACTTGCCGTTTCTCGATACAATTCCTTACTTTAGCTGTTGTTCTCAGATAACACCCCTCGTATATTGCTGCATCCTGCTACATGACTGCATATAATTCAAGTTGTTTGTATCATACTTTGAATTTCTGGACCCTTTGTGCTGAACTACCTCTCGCTCTCGAAGTTCCACTCATAGTTCAAGCACACCCAGTTTCCCAAGCCATCGCAGTAGTCTCTCATCTGCGAGTCGTGGTCCAAGATCGAGAATAGAAATCTGTGTACAGTCAGAAAGGTTGCTGGCCGTTTCATGTGTGATGGCAGTCACTGGTGTCCGAGTGTGCAAGCTGAGAGAGGCATATTTCCCAGTGTGTGCTTGAGAGCATGCTGGTACAACTTCGTGACGAGTTTCAGCGGCCAGACATTGTGGCCTGGTTTGCAGCCTGAAATACATCAGTTGCACGAAAGACACCATGATCAGCATGAGACCGACTGACAGAAATCTCTTGCTTCGAGTATCATGATCCTGAGCGGGTGTTTGAGGGAAAGTGAGGTGTTATTCAAGAGTTCGATAAGGTGGTACGCGTCTTTGCATCTATGTGGGCAGACCAGATCAGCGCGTCCGAAGATCCCAAAGCTCCAGTTGGATATGATGTCGACGATGATGCCCCTGTTGTAGATGTACCCGAATCTGAAACCCGGAGCACAGCAGTCGAAGAGCATGCAGCCGTCGATTCTCCACAGGTCGTCCCAGCATCCCTGCAAGCCAAACCAAGCGCACAGATATCATTCCCCATCTCCGAGGACCTACCCCAAACGTTCCCGACGACGGTATCCATGTCCGACTCACCTTCTACTCACAGCCACCCAGAACGTTCAGCCATACCTGCGCATGTGCATGCGAATGTTACATTTGACGCGAAAGCGACCACGCCTCCGCGGGCGAGTTCGCCTGAACCTAAGAGAGCCCTCTCGACACACAATATCCAGAGACTTGCGAGGAAGATAAGTCTTAGCGGTAAAGCTCCAAAACTGCCTGGGGTTTTACGCAGATGGGAGTTGAGCAGGAGGAGTTGGATGTTCCAATGGCGGCGTCTCCACTGGCTTCGTATGTGGGACTTGAGGACAGGTGCATTGTTGAAGATGATGGCAGGGCATAAGAGTGAGGTGTGTGCATTAGCGGTGTCACGAGACGGGCAATTGATAGCAAGTGGTGATGAGAAGGGAGAGGTCATTGCCTGGCACGGAGCAACTGGTGTATTTATCACCCAAGCCATCAAAGCCAAGTCCGGGATCATATCACTGGACTTTTCGGAAAGTTCTGCTTCTATCAGTGTGAAGTACATGCAACAAGCTGTCAGACTCGTCGCTGTCGGTGCAGAGCATGTGCACTGACCATCCGGTGTTGTCTAGGTGGCATTGCTGATGGGCACGACGTGACATATCTGGTCAATTAATTACTATACAAAGCAAGTGCTGGTACGAGCGTCACGCACCCGCCATACTGTGACCAGTGACCAGTGACCCGATGCGCAAAGGGCGGGGCTCGCCTTGAGCTCGCCATTGATAATGGTGAGCATGGGATGACTTGAGCCAGCAGGTGGACGACATTTGTGCCATGAATAGAGTTTTGAGAAGCCACATGGATGAATTTCGTGCATAACATCCTGATTTGGTAGCCACGTGGACGACTTTCGTGAAATGATTTAGAGTTTTGAGAAGCCACGTGGATGACTTTTGTGAAATCAATTCGAGTTTTAGTTATAACGTCGATTTATTTACTTTATCGTTTTGATTTTATTTTGTCCAATACGGTCCCTCATATACAACGATCGCCGAGACCGACCGTTATCAACATGCACGGAAACCATCGACATATACCAGATGCTGCGAAACAGCAGTGGGTTGTCGTGTCCGCACGCAACCATGACGTCGAAGGCCACACAAGCACGACTTACTTTTTGTCTTGCACGAGAGCTTCGTTGCTTGGCAATGATTCTGAAGGCCACCTACAGTTGGTAATAGTAGTGTAGTATAGTACTACCATCAACATGTGCAGCTGGTCGCAGATCAGTTCCCGCGCAGTGGGATTCTAAGGTCTCGTCACTACATTAGTACCGCCCGAGTCCGCCCCGCACAAGCCCCACAAGTCAGGTTGACGTACAAGTTAAGAAAGCAACTAACACTATGGAGCGGGTGTCGCTCCGATAGTAAACAAAAGCGGCTAAGTGAATTTTTTGAGATTCTGGTCTATCGATATGAAAATAGTGATCAAGGATTCAAAGGCGGACCCGATGACCACTGTTCCACGCCCAATTGTGTAGCTAATGGAGAACTAAAGGAGTGATCATTTCTCCACGTGTCAACTGAGCGCAACCCCGTATCTTGTCGTTGGGAACGAAACTCTACTTGAGTTATCGTCGACATAGTAGTCTGCTCAGACGAAATGCCAAGCCCAACACGAATTATAATCAAGGTGGACGCGATACCCTCATACGCATGTGTCGATTGAGCTTGACCACAAACTAGAAAGCACAATGACTTACATATATCTGTGTCCCAGCCAGACTTAATATCGCCTCGGCAGGATTTCGAGTGGCCACGAGAACGACAAAGATGAATTGTGTGACCATATACAGAGCACCGCTTTCGATGATTAGCATCATCGAGCGCCCGCCAGCTGCGATTTTCAGGGTCACTGGCTTTCCATGCTCATCGACGATGGGAATGCGAGATATGTACCAAAGGCGACCAGCGATGAGCCCAGTGACCATGACATTTGTGCAAAGAGGTAAAGTATACCCAGCAATAGCGAAGGGTACGATCTTAGTTGGAGGAACTGGTGATGTCGGGTCGGTTGACAATAGAAGAGATGGTATGGGTAAGATACACCCTGGCACAATGAGGGTGAAGGTGAGCGTTTTCGACCGATGAGAAGACTGATGATGATTTACCAAATCCGCCAAGAGCGGTGAGCAGAGGGAGAACGATCATATAGAAATTCTTCCCCCAGACAAGCCAGCATCGATAGAGTAGAAGCAAGTCTCCAATGACATCGACCACAGAAATCATCAAATTTGCTCCCATTAATGCATAAGTTTCGTTTCCGAAATCTGAGAACGGAGCAGTTTCCTGTAGCAATATGAGTCTCCATTTCATCATGAATCTCTTGCGTATTCCTCACGAGTGCGATATACAAGTGGTTGAACATCAACGCAAAATGAGCCGTCGATGTTGTAAATAGGAGGCAGTTTGCAATCCAAATCACTCGGTTAGACACTCGACGGTGTCTGATGAGGATCACGACAGAGATGATGAATAGCACGCAGTAGACTCCTGCGCAATGATGTCAGCGATGGACCTGAATCACTCGGAAAAAACATCACGCACCATACAAAAGAGCCTCGCATACGAGACCTACAACTTGAGCTACGTTTATTGAAACAGTCATCAGACAGCTGCAGCAAATGGGGAAGATACAAGAAATTTTCTTCTTTCATTTGAAGACTTACAAAAGCACGCGATTCAATTGTCGAATCTGGTGGAAGCGGCCCGTGCTTTGATGGATCATGAATCATGATCCCATCAACTCGGTAGTCACCGTGACAATTTGAAGGAGCTACCGATGGTCCATGCGTGGCCTGGATAATTGGTTCCTCCCGATTCTTGCCACAGGACTTTGGTCCTTTCTAGAGCTTTTCCGTGGAGTAGTCTAAAAGGGTTCGCGGAGTAACACGAGCACATCGCAGCAAGCTTAAGTATGTATGATAGTGCTTACCGACAACTTAGTTTGAATAACCAACACCTGCCACGTCGTTTCAGACTTATGATTGTTTATGGATAACTTTGGGGCTCATAAAATATCAGCAAGCGATGAAAGACCTGTGGGTGTTGGTGCCACTATCGTATTATGCGAGTATGTACCAGCTGCGATGTGCACACCGGTACCTTCACCTTTAAATTTAAAGGCCGAGTTGAAGGTGAAAACTGCTGGAAGGTGGATAGAACTTAGGTGAGGGTACTACCTGTAAGTTTGAGCCATTGTCGACACCATACGTTGGTAATTTCAAGAATCCTGACATCGTAATAGTTGGTTGATATTTGATGGATTCAATGTGGCTGAAACCTTGGGACCCAGATTCTCAGCCAACTTTAAGCCATCGGAATTCTTGGAAAACGCGCAGTGCAGCAGTGTCAGATCCTGTGTTTGCCAGCTCGAATTGGGTCTTCCAATATATCGATGATGCCACAGAAGAGTATGTTGTTGAATGCAGTATATCGGATCGGTTACGATTAAGGATACAAATAAACAAATAGACCTAAACATCAAGAACGTAGATGTGTGAAGACGAGATTACTGGGCTCGTGAAGTTGACATGGGTATCACTGGGGTATCAAGCGAAGATTCAATAAGAAATTATAATCGATGTACGGTTTGAAGGTTGAGAAACAGTTGCATGCCCTGTCCCGTAGGAGCGTAGCTCAATCCCATCCATCTACGAACATCTCCTAAACAGTCTATACGCCGCGGTCCTTGTCGATACTCCCAGCCATGTAACGTCGGACTCGCAGAAGCTCTCTCTTGTAAAGCCCGCGAAATTGCTTCGCCACCGTCTGGGTTTACACATTCGATGTGCTCCATCTCAGCTCGAGTAAGAGGTATCTGCAACCAGTTGTAAATGGCATCGAGAACATCTTGGACCTTGATAGCACTCGTCCTTTGCACCCTGATGACATCCCACATGTACGCCGTGGGACAAGCTGGGACGGCAATGTCGATAATGCCAACCGGGATATCCGTGACTTGAGAGCTCAGAGTGTGTGCCAGATCCATGGAAATATGTGCGCCTGTTGTCAGCCTAGCTGTAATTGGGTTCTGGCGGATATCCCACTGAAGTAGAGGCATATCTGGTTGGAAAGGATTTGTAGCGAGGCAGGGTACAATCTCCGGGCGTTCATCGACTATCTGGGGCCATGGTACAGCAAACAGTGTGGCAGGAGTCCACGGAACTGTCCCGGGTAAATAGCTCAGTCCACTCATGTGTGGAGACCAGGTTAGATTGCCAGCTGGGTAAGACCACACATTGTGATCAGGTTGTCTGGCTGGCAGCGCAGGCATGATAGCTCTGCTTGCGTCGGCCCAGGCAGGCACCCGCCACGGATACCGTGGTAGAAAGCCATTTCGCCATGGAGGGACTGATGCTAGATCATACAAATGCATCCCGTTACAATGATGTACAGAAATCAGAGAACAACTTACCAGGGGTGGTGCGAATGTCATAACTCACACTTCGACTTCTTTGCCTTGTACGGCAGAAAGAAGAATTGCGTAACCAACCACACAAGCCGCTACTGCGACTGGAGCAATCAAGGTTGTAGAACGCATTATCACAATGCATGATGGAAGAATTCAAGTTGTCGAAGACTGAAATGTCTACAGGAGAAGCTTTTGTACTGTTGAGCACATTAAGGGCGGGCACAGGTGTCAGCCCCATACTGCACCAAGGGAGGTCCCATATGACTCAAGAATCGATGCGATGCCTCAGTGGGTGCCTATCTCGACACAAAAGCATCGCATACGAATTCCTGCAGAAATACAAGGCTACTTCAGCAGACACAAATACGTCGCTAAGCGAAAGATCACTAGCAGAACAAGACGAGGTTCACAAATCCGGGCAATCGCGAACCCGTAACCTGCTGGCAGCCTGGCACAATAGCTTGATTGCACACAAATGTACACATGCGCCTACAAGGGCAGTGCGCGAAGCAAGGCTGTGGTACGACATCTCACCACATATGCACGCAAAAGCGCATTTCAGGAGCAATCAAGGAAACGGAGACCGCCAAAATTACCATAAATCTATTTCAATATTCCAAATCGGAATACGCCGACAGCTTGAGAGGTCATATACCGAAACGAACACGTCTGAGCAGGTGCCAGTGAGTGTACACAAACAGGTATCGAAACTCACCGTCGCAGAGTCAGCACTGAGCAGGTGCTACATGTCATCCTTTCACTGACACGCTGAGCGAGGCTCGACATCAGAGAACGACTCGAAGCGTTCAACCTTACTAGTTTCAGAACTTCAAGATAAACGTTAATAAATATCAGAGCAGTATATGCAGGAGAGCGTGCCTAAAAATGCCACATTGCTACCAGTACTTCACATGTGAGCGCTTGAGCGTCCGCGTCATGATCGGAACTCGACAGTACTGAGCTAGCAGATCGTTGGCGAGTGGAACCCACGCCCGGCGCCTATAAACATCACATGAGCTCTAGAACTCCAAGTCAAGCAAGAATAGAAAACAACTGCCAGTCGTCAAGCTTTCAAGTCACCGATTGAGATCATCTTCTCTCATAGTTCACTGGTGTTGACAGATCTAGGCGCTTGGTCGGTTCCGAGTACGCTGAGATCTGAAACCTGGTGACCTTCACAACATCCAATCAAAGCGCAACAACCACCCTCCACGCGCGCGTCGTGACGTTTGATGTGGCGTAAAAAAGCTCAATAATGGTTTGAAGAGATACGTGAACTAGAACATATCGAAACGTAAAACGAATTACTCCTCAGGCTTGAGCAAAAGCATGGATAATGGAAAGGGGGCGTATGATAGTGTCTATGACCATCCAAGCCGAACTACATACACAGACCGAAACGAGAGCCAAGGATAGCGAGGGGGCGTGTCCGAAATCACTCTGAATTGCCGCGGTCACGGACACCCTCAGCCGTCACCGTATCGGTGTGCGCTACAGCACGCGAGCCGGCCAAGTTTGACACGACAGGTTTCAACACGACGCCGTAAATCGTTTGTGCGCCCTAAAAGAAGACCATCAATCGCCTGCATCTTGAAACGCATTCTATCTCGCAACTTACACGGAAGGTTGGGAGCTGCAGCCAGAGGATGAACACTGTCTTGAACGCAAAGTACCACGGGAAGTAGTAGAGAACCATTCTGAGTGCAATGCTCTCGAGGAAGTTGAAGAAACCAAAGACAACCCAATACGTGAGCCACTGAACGTCATCCTGATGCCCGGGGCTCTCCAGCGCCTTGAAGGAGAGGTAGGACGGAAGGCCCCATCCAACGAGGTTAGAGACAGGCGCGGCGAGAGGGTTGACAAAGTGGAAAAGGGTGAGGAGAAGGACAGTGCAGCTGACAAAATATGTCTTTGGAATCTGAGTTCGCTGCTCAAATGTGTTCAACACTGGATACTTCGTGAGCTGTTGAGGGGCTTATGTTAGTTGAACGAATTTAGCCAAGAATCTGTTACTAACTTCCTTGTCGAGCTGTTGGATGTAAAAATTTGCCTTATTCTGCGCCTGGATGAAAGCAGGGTGCTGCTGAACCTTTTGTGTCGCGGACATCTGCAGAGTAAGGACAATAAACAGTTTTCTTGTCAAAAGCCAGAAATAAGGATATCTAAATTAACACGACTGACCTCAAGGGGGCGTGGAATATGTACTGAGGAAACTGATTAGGTAGCAGTCAAGACGGTGGTAAGAAAGAAAGAAAGTTGGGGCGGATACGTCGTTGATATGGGTTTGATGACATGTGTTTGGCGGCCACAATACGTCAGCTTGCCTCAAGTTTCCGTGGCCCAGAATCATATTTGGTGCACCACCAGCAATCTCCGCAGCAGCGCTTGCTCTCCGTTTCAGATTCTTTCACAACTCGTGCTTACCGTCTGCTGCAGTCATGGACAATTACGAGGCAATTCAGGTATGTCCTTGATATCCACCGTATAGTCTGAATCAGATTCGGACACGTCTCAACCACGCTGAGCAGGCCCTACATAATTCACTGCCTCCATTCTCACCTTATGTGCCCGCGTCACTTCTGCCGTCTATAGCTCTAATCCTCTTGGCATCAACGTTCGTTCTTGCATTCTACTTTTCAACGTAAGTCGCCGCTCTAAACTTCTGTAATACGTGTTCCTATACCCATGTCCACAGCCTTCCAAAAGACACGTTCCCACTACGCGAGACCGCGGTGGCATCATTAGCAAGTGTCCTCGGTGGTTTCGGAGTTGTTGCCCTGTTCTGTAGTGCTGGAGTGAACGTGTAGGCATGTTCGTGTCCTAGTAGTTCCAATCGACCGTTGGATACCCCCGCCTAAAACATTTACACTAATTGTTGACACGCCAGCCGTGTTTGCAAGAGACACACTGAACAACAATGAATGAGACGGGGACAATGAATGAGGGGGGTGACGCACTGTGTATAAAATTGTTGAACCTTCATCGGCACTGCGCATCTGCAATCGTGGTCAGCTCAGTTTTAAGCACAGACGATATTAACAGTCTTCCTTGCCTGTTTCTCTTCGTAAAAAGCTTCCAGATGTCCGCAAGCCGGGCATTTTTCTGACACCTGTTGGTGGTGTGAGGAAACCTTGATATCTCCAATACATTGATGCTGGTCACCTTTGGTAAAACTTTACCCTGATGAACCTTCGTTTGAGTTTTGCGCTTCTGTCTCAGCGCTGAAGGGAATGCTTCAGGATGTGACCGAGTGGTGATCTCAATATTCTCATAAGCTGCGGTGGATCAAGATGATGATCTGTGTGGCTCAGAGAGTACACACATGATGCTGGCTCCTCATAGCTGCATTGTTCGCAAATGACTGTTTTCTCGTCATCTCTCGGAGGACTGAGGAGAGTGCCACAATGAGGGCAAAAGATGAGGGAGCCTAGAAGTTGGTCACTTTTTCTGTCTCGGATCTGAGTTCAGTCCATCATCTCACCGATTTTATGTGCGAGAGTCGGCATAAGATCGCGATTTATAGTTTGAACTTTTACTAAAAAGCTGCAAATGATATGGAAGCTAACTTAGTATCGGTTTGGGCACATCGCGTCGCGTCGGGTGCAATAACGACCTTCACCAGTTTTAGAACAAGACCTTTTTGTTAGCGCCCACACCGACGACGGTCCCAACATTCATCCATTTCTACGCCCACACTGTATCGATGCAAGTTGCCGGACCTTAACGATTGCTTTGTTTTCACTGTCGACGTTCGACGTAACTATCACTGAAGAAAGGCCGGTTAGTTAATGATCATCGATGATCTGACGGCACGTTCCAATGGCTTGCTTTGACCCGTCTCGATATCACCGAAGATGACAATAAAGGGACATCAAACGAGTGGCACTTCTTTGTTCTTCCCCGCCGAGTCCAAGCTAATCTGACGTATGAGCCCCTGGACTCAGACACCGCATATATATGAACGCCTTTTTTCATCCATGAAATCTCGGACCCTCTTCGTAATCCTTACTTTCCCTGTTTCTCATCCTGCACGCAGGCGTGCTACTGGACTGCTTTACAATTTTTGTACCTTCTTTTCACGTTCACCGATACGTCAAACGCCCATCATTTTCACTTCTACCATCACGCGCCATTCATTGTGTTCTGATCTTCTATTGAAATAACGCCATCTTATATGATGTCTTCCCATACCGCTCTCTCTGACGCAGCTCTCTCCGACCTCGCTTGCAGGCTCCGGTACGCCAACGCGCGTTACGGCCAGATCGCTTGTCAACTGCGTTGTCGCATAACAATCACGCGTACGCATCACGCACAGCGACGTGCCTTCTGGTCTGGCTTGCGCATTGATATAGCAAAGGCTAAAGGTTGTCCTTCGACTGCGATTTCAGTCAGGCCCTTGCCTGTCCTTGATACGACTCCCAGTCCGTCGCCACTTATGCTTTCACCATTTGCACTTCTTGCCAATGTCCGCAACGAACTTGGCTTGGAGATTCCAGACATCGTCGTATCTCCCCCTGATGCCTATGACCAACCCCGCAAGCGTCTTGTTATTCGGATTCCACCACTTGCTGGCCTTCATGACAATATGTACCGCTATGAACACTGTGAAATATCTGCTCCGGGCGCGCCACTCATCAGGACCAAGGAATTACCAGAGTGCGAGATGGATGAAATGTTCTCTTCACGTTCATGTAGGCTCTCAAAAGATACTTGCATTTTATATGACTAAATGACCATCTTCAGCTTCTTCCGCTTCTTCCACCCCTCTCTTAACACCCGTGAGTCCTCTAAACTATATGTTCCTTTAGCACACTAACTTCCTGCACTAGATTGACATTGTCCACTCTGGTCTTCGTATCAAAATTCCAGCCAGGAAGCGCAAACTCGGAGAGACTGACGATGAAGATTCCTGTCCAGATAGTTCATACATTCAGTCTCCCAAGGTTTGCTCCTCCATGATTTGATGATGCAAACGCTGAGGCCTTGTTTCTAGAAGCACATGAGGAAACGCTGGGCCTGTTCACAGACAACTAACGACCGACTATATTGGTCTCCTCCTCGGTCACAAATTACCTCGCTTTGAGCTTGCAAGGACGATATTCACCTCACGGTTTTATGCAGTTTCTGCGAATACATACAATACCCAGCTTGTCAGGTCCATTTGATGTTTTTCTTTGTTGTGGACGTTGTCACAGGAGACTTCCATGTAATTTTTAGTCGCCTTGTGAAGGACTCTATAGTAAATGTTTGCCTAATGGTGTATCCCAACTGTTTGTGTCATCTTATCACAACAAACCTTCTTTAGCTTCGCGTATCCCAAACCTGTGACTGCGACATGTGAAGGAAAGTTAGTCGCAATAGTACTAGCACATCGGCGCCACGGACTTCGATCGAAACAGAAAACTTGAACACTTATCGAAGTTGACGGTAAAGTGGTACTACGATGCGCTGTTTGCCTGCCTAATGCAGCCCGGACTGCCTTCTAGCCTTTGTTCTCGTCTTACGTTAATCCATTCGGTTAACGCTACGTGAGCTTCGAGGCAACGGTCATTAAAGAAATTCTCGCAAGGGTGCTTGGATAGGAAGCTGTCTCCACCTCTCTCGCTTACTACTACCACAACGCGGCTGCGGCAACAATTCTGATGAGTTCCGAAACTACTGATCCAACCTCTCAATCGAACTATCGCCAGATCAGCACAAAACACTTTTCTCTCGACTGGTCGATTGATTTCCATGAGAAAGTGATCAAAGGCTCTATCACACACGAGCTTACCGTGCACACAAGCGATTTAAAGGAGGTCATGTGTGTTCCAAATTACCTATCCATGTTGTGCGGGGAGTACTTATGTATATAGTTTCGATACATCGGATGTGGTGATCAAGCGCGTGTATGTCGAGGGCGAGGCTGGCCATGCTCAGGTGCGCAGATATACTTCTTCGATGTGCGGGTTCAAAGTGCTATGGCGAGCTTGCAGTATTCCCTGGGAGAGAAACATGAAGTCATGGGCTCTGCGCTGTATATTCCACTTCCTGCAGGTCTGCAGCCAGGATCTTCGGTGAAAGTGACGATCGAGTACAATACAACGGAGCCAGGATGCAAGGCATTGCAGTGGCTTGACAAAGCGTCAGTAGCCATTGAACTTCTTGTTCCGTATTCCCGCTAAAACTGCTGGGATATTTGAAAAGACAAACTCATGGCAAGACCCATCCTTACTTGTTCAGTCAGTGCCAACCGATTTATGCAAGAGGTCTTTTTCCATGTCAAGGCAAGTTTCAGATTTTGATGCATAATATGCCATAGCAGCTTAACAGTGTACGACACACTCAGATACTCCATCGGTGAAAGCCGTCAGTCATTGTTGGCCTGGTGCAGTTGTGATTTGCAACTGAGATCTTCAATAGACATATGAAGCGAGGATCACGTCTGTCCTTCCTGCACTCATGTCTGCTATTCGAGTGTCTCCGCCTGCGGAAGGGCCGGTGCACGATGGGAAGATTGTTGGGCAGGATGAAGTCACCTACGTTTACAACCAGGTGTGTGGCGCTCAACAGGATCATTCAGCTGTACCTTGACTTCCTTGATACCCAGCCGGTGCCCATACCATCTTACTTGATTGCGATTGCGTCAGGAAATCTCTGCTACCGCGCATTCGAGAAGCTCGAAGGAAAGGATTGGACGAGCGGAGTATGGGCCGAGCCGGACATCATCAATGACGCTTGGTGGGAATTCAAGGAAAGATACGACAAGGTTCTTTCTAGAGCATCAGAATTGATGAGATATTTGACAACTCTTTGCATAGGTTTTTGGCTGCAGAGGAGGAACTCGTTGGTATGTCGTATAAATTTGGCGTGTATGACCTCCTGGTGTTGCCTCCGGCATTCCCTTATGGTGGCATGGTGCGTTCTTTTATATCCCTTGGGTCAGATTCTGATAGACATCCAGGAAAATGCATGTTTGACGTTTGTCACGCCAAGTTAGTGCATACGACTTATCATGTTGCGTTTTTGACCAGAGGTTAGCTTTGTTGACCGGCGACAGGACATTAGTGGACGTCGTCGTACACGAGATCACGCACTCCTACTTCGGGAATGGTATAACGTCAGAACATCTTCCTTCCTCTCCTACTTCTTTTTGACTGGCATTCTCGCGCAGACACGCAGACGCTTCACACTTTTGGCTCAACGAAGGTTGGACGACGTACATCGAGCGCCTCCTCCAGCAGATACTGCACTCCCCTGCTCACCGCGGATTCTCTTTCCTAACCGGTTCGAAGCAGCTTTATGATGACCTCAAACTCTATGAGCAGCGCAATAAGAAATATCAGAAATTGCAAATTGAATTCGAGAAAGGCGAGAACCCTGACGACGCCTATAGCTCGGTGCCATACGACAAAGGCGCTAATTTCCTCCTCCACATTGGTCGGTGCCCATCTAGTCCAAATGACCTGCAGGATGTTGACAGTGTTTCGGGGCTTTCAGAACGGACGTTGGGTGGTTTGGATGTGTTCCTGCCATACGCGAAAGATTATGTCAAGACGTTCATGGGTAAAAGCATTACCACAGAGATGTGGAAGGAGCATCTTTTTGACTATTACACGCGGTTTGGTGGAGATGACGAGCTCGAAGCGCTCAAAAGCATTGATTGGGATGCAAGTATTTGAGTTACTCTCCTTCGGATCACTTGACTGACGATTGTCAACGTAGGCTTGGCTTTTTGGAACGGGCGTGACCCTTCCTGTGCCCATGGAATATGACATGACACTCGCGCAACAATCCTACAAGCTCGCTGAGAGGTGGAGCAAAACCAAAGATACATCTGAGTTCAGCGTCACCGATATCAGCGGGATGGACGCCAACCAGATCGGTGAGAACGGGTATTGCTCACGGTTATGGCTGCTGACTGTATCTTATAAGGCGCTTTCCTTGAACGACTACAATCCTTCGACCCCTTGCCAGTAGCGCATATTGATGACCTTGGTGACCTCTACGGGCTGGTTAGTTCACCCAATGCAGAACTTCGTTTGAGGTTCTATCAAGTAGCTTTGCTTGATCCCCAATCTACCAAGTCGGAGCAATATGCTACAGCAGCTTTGGGCTGGATTGTTGGCGAAGAAGATGGGATGGTGAAGGGTCGGATGAAGTTCTGTCGGCCAATATTTAGGGCGGCGTTTTCTGTTAACAAGGCGATGGCACAACACAAGTACGAAGAACACAAGAGTTCATTCCACCCCATCGCACGTGATCTTATTGAGCTGGTGAGAGACAGATAGGTTCTTCACCGACGAAACTAATGCCGCCGCAGGATATCGAGTTAACCAAAGGATCACGGGACTAATGTATAACAAACATTTATTTATCAAACTGTATCAATGGAAAATCAATGTTACTTGAAGTCACCCCATAGATCCCCGAATACATCGTCCTTCTTGGGCGCCGGGTGCGCCTGAGAAGTGCCGAGAAGGTTGTTGGAATTGCTGGGTGCGGAGACAGACGATCCCCAAATATCATTTGTATTGAATGAGTTCACTTGAGACTGGGGCTGTTGTGCCGTAGGAGTTACAGAACTCCCCCATAGTGTGTTTTGGGAGGGCGCAACGGGAGTAGCGTTCCAGCCAGAAGAAGCGCCCCACAAACCAGTGCCACTGGTCCCCATCATGCTTGTAGGCTGAGGTTGTGTCTGAGGAGCGCTTCCATCCCATGCTGATTGTGACTGAGAGGGTGGCGCAAAAGTGCCAAAAGTACTGGAAGCAGCACCTGTCGACAGGTTGGAATGACTGGGGACGGCAGCAGGAGCAGAGGAAAAGAGGGACATGATGTCTGATTTCATGTCTTTAGACGACGGCGGTGGGGCTGCCTTTTGAGTGGGTACATGGAAGTCTAGTGAGAATAGGTCATCTTGAGATGGAGGGGTGGACTGCGCGAACGTAGGCTGAGGTGCAACAGATGTCGGAGAAGTGATAATAGTGACTTCAGAGTTGATTGCTCTGCCAGCGATTGCGGAGGAGAGTAATTGACGGGATTGAGGCTGACGTGTTGTGATGTGGGTTTGGAGTGTTGGAGATGCTGATCTTGCACCAGAGATACTGGTATTTGGTATATGAGTTGGGCGTGAGGATTGCGTAGCCGTGGGAGGTGGCTGCTCAGCAGCTTGTGAGGTATGTACATTCGAGGTTTCAGTCTCAAGAACCGACGGATCGGATGGCGGGGGTCCATCAAGTGCCCATCTTCGAGATTCGTATTTTGAACGAATGAATGACTCCATTTTACTATGGTAAATCGTGAGCTTATGTTTTGACTGAAGGGCCAAAATCACGTACTGCTCTGGGGGGACATGACCAGACTTTAGATGGGATTCCCAGTACAGGTTGGCACGACGATTCCCCCATTTCTGAATCGACTGCAAAGTAAACGACGTTGAGCAAGTCGTAAGACTGATATATGAGTGATATAGCATTACCTCCATCTGTTCCGGCGTCCAGATATCGAGATCGACGGACTTGACGCGGCTAATATGCGTTCCCATGCCACGATGGATGCCTGAACAGCGAATACACAGAAAGACACCTCTGGAAAGCATGGTCAGGTTAGAGCAGGAGCGGTAATGCGAAACGCACAAATTCCATGATGCCCAACGAGGATCTGGTTCGAGAGTAATTTAAGAAGCTTGGAGATGGACTATGGGGACAAGACTAACCGTTCCGCTTGCAGTCCTGCACAGACCTTATTGTCTGACTGCTTGACTAAATCTTTGAGGATTTTAGCATTTCGCTCAGTCGTAGCTTTATCTTGCCTGGACATGATGGTCGACGAGAAGTGGTTAGAAACAAGATGAATAGACTTTCGGAGGAGAATCAGCCTCATTCCTAAAACGTGTCAGGGCCCGCTTCCTATTATTACACACTACCAACGTTTTTGCCTACCACATCCATCGTCAAAAGGCAGACAGCATATTGTCTGCATTCAATAAGGCTAAACTAACGACCGTCACGATGTCAGCTACAGCTCGCGCAGAGGCTCGTCGCAAAGCTATTCTCGGCAGAGGAACTGACCGTCTGTCGAAATTGACGACGACTGCTCGCGGAGAAGATGCTCCCGCATATTTGAATGCTGGTGGGTGTTTTGATTTGGCGTACCACGGGCAATATCAATATTTTGTATCGTAGGTATTCCTCCCAGAGCTACAGCTGCTAGTTTTGTGGGTGAAGCGCCGAGCATGCCATCTCCGCCATATATGCCACCCCCGCGCTCTTTTGGAGATGCAGGCGTTAGTGGAGCAGGACCTGACCCATCCGTTTGGTCAGAAGAGCATCAAAGGCAATTTCTTCAAGCTCTCATGAGTGGCGCAGCCAATTCTCCGCAATTTCCTCAGCCTCAGATCTCAGCTGCGGCTTCCAATGGAACAACTACACCTCCTTCAGGTGACCCTTTCGTTAACATCATGAATTCGTTGCAACAAATGGACCCCTCTCGTGGTGGTGCTACCGGAAAAATACCTGCTCCTCCCGCACCTGCAAAGCCTCTCTCGACCATGCAGAAGTTCACGCCATTGCTGCACATCCTGTGCACATGGCTTATTCTTGCCTTTTTTGTTCTTGTCAAAGAACCTCAAATATTAGTCGAGCGCAGCGGTGGTTTTTCGGAAAGTGTATGGAAACGTTGGGCGGAGCTTGCCTGGAGAAGCTCTAGCATCGAGGGCTGGGGAGTGCAGTTTGTGGTCAGTGTTTCGCGCTTGACTTGACATCTCGTCGCTGATCGACGTATAGCCGTTCATGTGGGCTTTTATGACTGTGCAAGTTGTGCTTCACTCAATACGTATATCCACGGGCAATGTAAGTGTCTTCAGGTCGCGAATAAATGTTGTGCTGATTATATTTGTATAGAATCAAGTGCAGCCCCCGGTTTTGTTGGCGCTAGCTCTGCCTCACTTGCCCCCTCCATTCCCATCTATCATCACAAATGGCTTGCGCTATATCCGGATGGGAGGCGCCATCCTTGATGATCTGTCGGCGGATTGTATTTGGAATCGGGATGGTTGTGTTGATCGCTGGATGGTTCGCTGGATGATTGATTCATGTAAATTCCGTCAGTACGATGAGTTTAGGATTATTTTGGGGTAATACATGCATGCATCTAATAACTGAATTGAGAAAGTACCATGAAGCTAGGGTAATATGGCAGCAGCTCCGGTCTTTGGACGCTCAGGTGATGACAACATATTTTCCACCATGGCTTCCAGATTCTCTGGGTTACGCGTGCTCAATTTCGGTGTCCGTTTCTTGGCAGCAGCTAAGCGTTCCTTCTCCTCGCCTGGAAGAATAGGCAGACCAGCAGCTTGAGCAGCAGCCTTGTGCTCTTTCCATACATTACCACCAGCAAGATCCATTAGTTCCTTGGTAATGGATGTGGACCATTTATTTGAAATGTCGATGGTGGTCTTGGCTCCGTCCTCTGTACATTTGATAGAGACAGTGGTAAAGAGGGAACAAAGAAGTGTGTCAGAACGTGAAACAAGTTCAACAGAAGAAATCGAGTTACCGAACTCGACGACCATCTCAGGTGTCCAATTGTCTTGTAGAGATTTTGGAACTTTGTTGACCTCCACGTTGAGTTGTGGATTGGCATAGCGTATGCGTCCGAGCTCTTCCTTCACAAAATGCCTAGGTCTGTCTTAGATACGCGTGTATCAGAGTTGTCTATGAAGTATCTTACCGTGCTCCGAAATGATCGTTTTTTGCAGCCAACTTCAAGCTTATCCCCCGCAGACCAGGTCAAGGATAACCTTGGTTCCTCATTCAACTCCTTCAGTATGACAGACAGGCGAGAAGGCCCTGGAATAAACTTGGGTTTCCGAGGCATTCTGAATGAAGTTGAGAGTGAATTTTAGTAATTTGTAGCCGGCTATAGGTTGTTTGCTCCTGTTGAATTCTAATGCTTCAGCTTTCCTTTCTTGGTGGACCCATTTCCCTTGGTCGTTCATTACTCTAATCGCGGTGCTACATCATCCAATATGGCTGGAGAGGAGACTTTGGTATCGCGTCGGTCGAAGAGAAGTACTGCGGGGAACAGGTTTGTACGATAACTTTGTTGTTGCCCTGACTGAACATGATTAGGATGGAGGCAGCCCTCGCTGAGCTTGTTATCGAGGAAGTCAACGAAGCTGAAGAAGACATTGACTTCGTCAATGACAAAGGTGAAGACGATGCGCTTAATACTGATGAAATGTGTCTTATACTGCATTTAGATGAGGAGGATGTATTTGAATCGGATTTCGCAAGCACGGATGACGAGGCAGCTGCTGAAGATATTGATACCGGAGAAAAAACTGTCGAGGATGAGGAAAGGAGAGCGAGGAGGGTGTGTATTTATTACAGTTTGTCTACAAATATTCTCATTTATTTAGAGTGTGCGCGCAAGGGTGGAGAAAGCTACCGCCGCTGCTCATGCTCGCCACAGGGTCACCTTCAATCCCCAAGCGGAGATTTCAGAGAAGAGACCTAACAAGGAGGCTCAGAAGCTCAAAAGACGTGTATCTCTTGGTGTCGCGGTTAACGCAGAGACAGGAGAAGTTATTGAGGGTGGTACGAGGCAACGGCAGAGTCAAAGATCGCATACAATCATGAATACGTCGGCAACCGTCAACAGAATGAAGGATGCAGAAGAGAAGCGGGTAAGTCCTTATATAACTTCATACTCAATACGCTTCACTGTCCCTCCTGCAGGCCACTATTCCGAAGAAAGCAAGAGTAGTCACGAAAGCACCAACACAGGATGAACTTATCGCGCGGGCCCTCGACACGGAGGAGGGGAATATTATTGAGCACCGGGATTATCTAAAACTGGAGGAAGAGAAACGCGCTCGTGCTCGTGTAGTTCGAACCGCCCTTGAAGGTCCGGTGTTGCGATGGATCAGCCGGAAAGAACAAGTGAAAGTTGAAGTCACACCTTCGGTACCTGCCCCATATCCATCGCCGTACGGTTTTGTCTACAATCCACATCAAGGGACCTCCTTCTCCGGGACACAAAATCACCAGTCTCCCTTCCGTGCATACGTTCCAACGCCGCCAAGCCAGGCGCCGGAAGGTTCGCCTACTGCATCACAAAGCTTAGCTGCCACATCGCAACCGCAGTCATCAACACCATCTGTGAACACACCATCTCAACCTTCATATTATTATTACCCCGTGCAACCCCCACTAGCACAAGAAAGAGTTGTCGACGTTTGCAAGAACTACATCGTGCATGAGCTATCGCAAGATCCATCTGTAGCCAAACCACCATGGAAAGATACCATGTCAGCTATGTTTGGCGACGAGGTCAAATGGGACGAAGTCCGTGTGTTTACAGGGAAACAACGCCCATTAAGTGAGTTTTTTCTCGTTTGGTGTCCCGCATTACCCAATTCCCATCGTAGGTCGACCTGTTCGAGCTTGTCCGATCACTGGGACACCTGCGAAGTATTTAGACCCACGAACAAATGTGCCCTTTGCGAACGTTGCTGCATTCAAGACTCTGACTAGAATTTTGTCTCACGACTATGTCTGGAGCGAGGCATTAGGGTGCTATGTTACCCGCCATGAACAGCCTAACTATGATGTTGATGAGGGCACCACGACAAAACGCAGAAGAGTGGACGATCAAAATGGGCAAACTAATGAGGGTTAACTGTCCATATCGCTGCACTCGACACGACTCAAGCCCTTCGATGAGAACTCATCGTTGGCGACTCGTCTACGATCTCAACGGTCGCGTACCAGGGATTTATCTGCGGCACGCTCAGTTAGCTGCAGCAATATGGGATTCCGTACTTCCTTGATGAGGATTCGCAGGAATTGCTGGGAAAGTCGCTTGCTTTTAAGTATGGTTCCTGCCGTTCCGAGGCAGTGTTCTGGCACAAGTGGGTACTGCACATACATACATGTCACTGTAACCCTGTTATCCCTCATAAGAAATACATCGCCAGGACCATTTTGAAGCCTTAGTGGCTGTGGACGTGCGCATGATAAAGCTACCGTCTGACCTGCACAAAAATGAGTCTGAGTGTACCTCCCAAGCTCGCCTACGCACAAATAACAGGACCCTCGAGGTCTAGCATGTACGTATATTATGTTGTGCTTTTTTCAGGCAGATGAAAATAAGGTAGGTCATACATATGCTGTCGCTATTTTATTTCCAATACTTGTTTCTGTTTATACTTAGAGTATCTCTCGACCGAAACACAGATCAACATTCGCCCAATGAGGGGAGGATGGCGCATGCCGACAGTTTACACATTTCCAGGTGGCTGAAATACATCCCCGAGTACTCTTGCCAGCTCTGTGAGCTGTGCCGCTGGCACAAGCATCAACCGTCCAGCCGTGTCTAATCCAAATGACTCTGCATTACGTGGCTGGGCGTTTGAATACGGAAAAATCAGATGATGAGAGGCAATCTAGGACACCAGGTGAGACCAATCTCAAAGCACGTCAATAAAGGGGGTTCACCTTTCGAATTTCCTCATCCTCTGGATGGAATGGGTATACTCCATCCGGGCTTCTGTCGTTCGTTTCCTCATTCGAGTTTTGAGATTTCTGTCTTTTTGACGCTTTCCCTGGTTGTTGTCGGGCGATAGTCATTGCTTCCTCCTCTTCCGGAGTAAGTTTGTATACACGTGATACGAAAATCAGGTGTGTGAAATTGAAGGGTTCGTTCTGAGAGGAATGACGACAAGGCCTATAGTTCATATAAAAACTTCATAAGAATCAACGACTCACCTCTTCGACTGCATCCCTGAGCTCATCTACGAGCATACGGTACATGGGAGGTATCACCGGAACAGGCATATTGATCAACCTTTCGCATAGAACGAGACCTACTTGACACTGTGGATCACGCAGTACCGTCGATAGTGATTCGTGGAAGGCATTATCTCCCTTCGATTTTGCCAGAATGTACTCTACGAGCGACTTTATAGACACGTTGTCCTGACAGCAATCCTTGCTTGAAAAAATACCAGACAAAAAACAAACGATACTCACGTTGTGCACACCGATATTTAAAATGCTCAAGAATGCATATGGGCTGCTTTCCTCTCCATCAGTCTTGATCGTGGTCCCTATGTCAGGCTGTGAAAGCACCAGGTCCGCAAGAGCGTGCGTGCTGAGACCCTCAGCGTCTACACCAAAGAGCTGATCGAGAAGACGCTTGATGGCATGGTAGTCGATCGTTACATTGAAGCCAAAAAAATCGAAATCTACATCGATGAACGTCGGAGTCTACTGAGAGCTGGTCACTATAAATTATTACAGGAAGCCTCATGGAATCATACGTCTTCCGAGTCGCTGTCGGAATCTTCGTGGTTAACTTGATTTTTGCGTTTTGACATTTGAATATGGTGTGGACCAATAATTCACGAAACAAAGTTTATTGTGTTACGTAAGTTCCTTTGAGTTATCGTTCAAATCATATATGAGCAATTGAGTGTCCCACCATAGTGGAAAAATATATATATATACAAAACCACGGTGTCAACAGTACCAGAAGCCGTCGTCATAAGTACACACTAACTAAAAACGACAACAACAGCAAGTTAAGAACACTGTAAGCATACTCGCGAGTCGCGAATGATCCAACCAAAGTCAACGTTCAGCCTGGCATTAAGATAAGTGAGTGCCGCGTCTGTCGATATGTACAAACGAACCACAATCAGTGATTAGTGAACACACAGCCGCTACCGCGTGATGCCCATCTTTAAGAACGCCCCCACTACCTCGACCTCATCCCATTGTCCTGGGTTCTCCGCCGTTTTCTTTGCGTGGATGTATGTAAGGGTATTGCGGAAGTGTCGAGTAATCACGTCGGGCGTCGCAACGCCTTCTATTCTTTGCGAGGGGTGGAGATATGAGGAGGATGACGATGGAGATGTGATCGTATCGATGGAGGAGGCGATGAGTTCAACAAGTGAGACTATAAATTTAGGTGCGATCTAATTCAAGCGTGAATATGTTATTGTTGCTGTTGAAACGGCGAGCACTCACTGCAGGCGCACCCCGGTCGAAATAATATAAATATTGATCGAGCGTATCGCAGTAAAGCTGGACGGTGACTATCTCCTCCGTGGCAGAATTCGCTATGCGTAGTGATTTCTGAAGGCATTCCAGTACACGCTTACTGTCCTTATGCGGGTACTAGACACTGTCTATCAGCCATCGCATCTCAGTAAGGATCGAAGGCTACGAACCGCTTTAACACCTTCACCATCCTCTCTAGGGGGAAAAGCAACCTTCTCAGACTCCTTCACAACAGGCCCATCAGCCTCGCTCTCTTCTAATACAGGCTCTTGCCACCACAGATGGCTAGCGGCATGTACCGCCGTCGCCTGATGCTGTTTTTTCAACAACCTTGCACCGTGCAAAGCAGCCTTCGTTATCAATGTGTCGTACCCATCGATATTAAACACTCTCGCGCCTTGAAGAGTGCCAATGATAAGGGTGATAGCAGCAAGCTGCGCTCTGCTTTCCGAAATGCTGTCTTCGTATACCGAGAAAGCTTGCACGTAGAAATCGTAGGCAAGGTCTTCGAATCCAGAGCCGCATTCCGATGCGATCTGTGCTGCGAGGAGGAATAATCTGAGTGCGAATGCTGGGGCATCGACCTGGGTGGCAAGAATGGAGGTACATTGTCGAACGAATTTGAGTATCGTGTTGACCTTGTCTTGCCAACCCTCCTCCTGCGAATGGTAAGGAGCAGAACACAATAACAACAAGACGACATACCAGATGTTCACAGTTCTTATACCGCCTACATAACTTGATGCTGGAAGTGATGAGTGCGGGAAAGGTATAGCGCATCCGTTCGCCACCAGCTTCAAGATGTTTTCGAGCCATTTGTAACAGCTGCACAGCACGTCAGTTCAGGAGATACCCCCGCAAAGAATATTCGCACATCGAATTGGATATCCAACGAATCTGCGCGGAACAAATGCACCATCCGTGCAACCCAACCCTGTTCCTCTGCTAGATCCTCCCTCTCCGTGTGATAAGGTCCCTGTCTTCTGACCTCCTTGGCACCAGCGATGTTCTGCGGTGTAGCAGAGTCGGTCTGGTCCTTGATAAGAACATGACAAAGTTCCAAGACCCCATCAACATCTTCCGGCGCCTCGATGATCGTTTCGTTCTTGAGCACGCTCGAAATTACAGAGTGAGCGATTGACCGTCTTGTCGAGAAAAGTTGCTGGGAGAGTAGGGGGACGTATTGGGGAATTGCGAGGAGTGTGAGGACAGATTGATAGGAATTTATAGGTGCTACAAGGAGGGCAGCGAGGTTTGCAGCTGTTTGCGGTGCGTGGAGGTCAGGGCTGGAGAGCTTGATTAGTGTGAGTTGTCATAGAGACGCGCGTAACATGCCTTTCTGAGAACTCCTTGATTTTGTCACGCGCAAAGCCAAGGATCTGGTCCACGTATTCTAGCCTGTCCGGATAACAGCTTAGCGATAGGTTTGTGAGGGACACAAGTAGCGCGGTGATATCCTGTATCGACAAGTCTGGCCGTGCCTTACGGACCGAGTGAGAATCGCGTGTAGTTGTATAGATTGAAACTCACTTTGATAAGCTCTACTACTTGCTTCCAAAACACCTCGAACAACCGGACGTTCTCGGGAACACCCCTGAATTTCCGGACGGGCGATCCATCATGCCCCTGCTTCTCCTCCACCGAAACGCCATTCGTAGCCGTAGCCGCCCCTGCACCAACCTCCAACTCAGCCATGCTTTTCTCCGTATCAGCAACAGCACTGTCCCAAGCATCCTCCGCCGAGGGCGGTGCACCAGCCGCAGCACCATTCTCCCTTACCCGAGCCTTCTGAACTTTCACCTTATCCGCAAGTCTCCGGGCAGCAGCTTCTTCCTGGCGTTTCGTCTCCTCGGGGTCTTCGCTCTCAGCCTCGCGAGCAGCATACGCAGCCAGCCGGTCGATAAGCGCAATAACAATCAGCTTGATGTTCACCTTTGGATGAAGTTGGGCTGTTGCTGATAGGAATGGGCCAAGGGTATGTAAATGGAATTCGTCCGTGAATACCTATTGATGGGAAGTCAGTAAGGTCTTCCTCAATGCCCCGCAATCAACCCCATCACTCGTACCTGAATCACAACCTCCATCAGATACTCCTGCGCAATCACATCTTTACAATTAACGACTTGTTCCAAGATAGCGGGGAGGATGCTGTGCTGGTACATTTCGAGGTCTACGCCGTCGAGTTGTGAGAGTCGGACGAGGTTGGTACCGACCAGGATACGGAGGTCGCGGCGCTCCATCTCACGTTTTTCGCGGTCGCGGGAGTGGCCTTGGTGTTGGAGACGTACCCAGAGTTTGTTCATCTCGATGAAGTTGGTTAGGACGAAGGAGATGGAGTCTTGGAGGTTTCCTGTAGGTCTGAGGGACGTTAGTGTTTGTTTTGGTGTTGGGGCGGTATGAGGACGTACCCTGGATCGACGCCGATAGGGAGGTGGTCCCGAGTCTGTCCGCTTAGGTAGTGCCTTAAGAAGAGGCCTCGTATGGGGTGTAACACGCCACGAGACATTTCCATCATGTCCTTCATGATCTCCTTTACAGGTGCGTCCGAGATAGACATATACACAGCGCCGACTGTGATCATGAGATATAACCTCGGTACGATGTTCCCAGCATATTGAACAAGTTCGTAGAGGTCTGCGAGGTGGTGTCGTGATTGAGTGTGTGCATCGTAGAGATAGTTGGAGAGGTGTCTTAGGGCGTCAAATACTGCCATGTCTGCGCGAAAATTCATGATTAGGGAAGGGAGAAGAGGAGGAAAGGCGTACAGAGTTCGTAATATTGCTTTGGGGATAAGGATGACGTCCGGAGTTCTGCTAGCATCAAGCTAGCGCTTTTCAGCGCGTCCATTATATCGTCGTTATCCTGAACCAATGTAATGTTAGTGAATTATGACGTGCAAGCATTGAAGTGAAATTATGTATATGCTGCGCAGAAACTCACCAAATGTCGCTTCATCTGACCGACTTGTATTTTGACGGTGCTGAGGGACTCGCTGAGGAGCTTGCCTTCCTCTATTACTGGGATTACTGTGGTCGTCGTCGTCGCCATTGCTCCGTTTGACGAGATATGTTAGACTGACTGCCAGCGACAACGGTTCCGACCTGTGTACCCGACGAGTGGATGTCCACTTCTGAAGATGACATAAGCCATGACGAGTCCTTGATCGCGCGAGCAATATTAATATACTTATATTCCTCCTCGTGGCTCATTCATACAGAACGTGGTGAATCAATCTTATATAAAACAGCCTCGATCAACGCATCCAGATCCGTATCACCTGCCCCATTCTCCTCCTTCCAAATTCTCTCTGCAATCGCAGCTTCACCCATCCACGCCGGCATCTCCTCCCCTTTATACTTTTTCCAATACGCCATGAAAAGCTTCATTTCAGGCCTCCACTTTCTCCCCTTCCTGTGCGCGCTCAAACTGACCAACATCGCGGCGTACGAAAGACGATACAACACTTTAAGCTCCTCATCACTCGCACCAAGACGCGCGAGTTGGTTATTCAGTGCGTGGTCCTGATGTTCCATGTGTAAGCTAAGCCAGTCTTCGATGAGACTATGGCTTGAATCGGCCAGCAGGAGCGCAAGTTCTGTCGCTGCATCTACAAATACAGACCCTAGGCCTCCATAGGCTGCGTTCATCTCCTCTCGGTAGTACGTGCGCAGGACTTTGCTCGGACGTGGCCATTGGACGCATTTTTCTTCAAATTTGCCAGGGTTGAGATCGAGGATGAAGCTGTACGGCTCGAGGCCTTTGTTGCGCCCTAGGATACCGTGCGCGAGGCAGACGGGTTGGCCGTCATGCCCTGAGGATGTGAGGGGGGAAGATCGGAGGAGGCGTTGGGGGACTGCAAGGATGCCGCGGCTGACACGGGGAGAGAACCCAATGTGGGTGCCCCAAAGGAGGGAAGCAGATTTATTGGAGTGGATGGGGGCATAGAGACCTGTCTTGTCGTCTGGAACAAGGGGTATCCCTGATTTGTCGTCTGGCTGCTTTTCGGATTGTCCTGTTACGGTATCCATGAGACGCTTCCTGGCCTTGAGGATGTCTGTGGGGTCATCGGCGATGAGATTTGATCGGAAAATTGGAAGACGGATGTCGACGGGGTGTCATTTCATTACTGGGACCTCTTTACTAAGGATTGGCCATGGATCGTTGCCTTTAATGAAGGGGACTAGAGTCACGTCAATTCCTGTGCGGCTCGGGCCAGTCCATGCTGCCCATCGATTAGAGCAATAGTGTCGATTACGCCATGCAGGCCATGCATAGCGGAATACGGCGAGAGATGATGCGCTGGCTAGCAATATGATTCCGAGTGAATCGTTGTTATTGCCTACAGGAACATTGAATATATGAGATGACAGTTATGACAGGCGCTTACCGGCAAGGAAAGATAAGACCATACAGCCAAAGGAAGCGACGAGAGCGATGGCTATGGCTGACCACCAGAGATGTTCCCTTCTGCCCAAACTGAATCTGATTGTCCATAAACCTTCTGTCTCGCAAATTTCGACGAGAGTTGTAATAGCGCCTTGAAGTAGAGATACAGCTACAGCAATGACCGTTGCAGCCCAGAAGATCTGCGTGCGTTGTGCATCCGTGAGTTTGCTCATAAGGAACGCACCACTGGTGTTAGTGGAAGAGGAGGTAGTGGGGGTGGGGATGAAAGAGGAGGTTGGTGATTCGGAAGCCAGGATTTGACCATGTGGATATGGTACAGCAGCTGCGTACGTAATTAATATTGCAACATTGATAAGAGCAAGGCTGGTTATCATTGTGGGGGCCGGGTGAGTTGAAGGATGACTTGTATGTCTGCAGCAAGAGTTTTATAGTTGTCTGGTGTAGTCTGAGTCAGGGATACAAAAGCTCTGTGCAGGCCAGAATGTTGAATTGAATATGAAGGCTTGGGATGGTGTAAATAACGAGAGCGCCGCCTCCTTTGCCATACATGCCCAGGTCATCACGTTGCCGCCGTTATCGTTGTATAATCTCAAGTATTAGACAGACAGACGAAACGTTGAACACTACCAGTTTGGATGATTAGAGGACTTGCTGGGCATCAACGTGATGGCGTGAGGGAAAGATGCCTGATAATAATGCAATAAGGGATGAATCACTACGGACAGTAGATTTTAGCTCCACCGTAATAGACGTAAGACGTATTCTGGACTCACTTGGCCCAGAATGCATCAGCGCCGCCTCCTTTGCCACACGCGCACAGGTCATCCCGTTACGTTGTCACTGTTGTCTTTGGATGAATCACTACGGAAGCCAGATTTTGGGTCCAGCATAATCTGGTGCAGACGTAAGATGTATTCCTTCGTGGACAAAATTCGAGCGTCAGGGAGCGGATGCCAAAGGTTAAAAAGTAAATTGTTCCACCGAATGCAACTGATTTACGTCTTCATTAACGGTATCACCAGGTCGCGCATGTCTCAGTGGCCTTGATGGGCTCTTTTGACCTTGCTGACTAACGTAGCTGTGTGGGTCAAGGGAAAGGTGCTGTGAAACTTGCGGCTGCGTAGTAGTACGTACCTACTCTTTTTATCGAAACTGCGGCTGCGAGTTGAAATGATGGCAGGTGTCAAGTATACTTTGCATAATATACGTCGACAAGGTTACATGGGCAGAACTGATCACTCACGCTGGCAGATACGAGCAAGCGCTGCCAGTGGGTGGGAGCGGGGTAGCAACAGAGAACCAATTTTGAATTTCTGTACGAAATTGACCTATTAGTGTCGGTCAACGTGTGAGGAGCATAAACATATAGGCAGGGTCTATAAGGAGATGACGAAGGCGGCGATGGGTAGCACGTGGGTAAACTGAAATTACACCGGTAGACCTACTCCCTCAGTGAATTGTTTTGTTTTATTTGGTTTTTGTCCAGTTGTTGGTCGTCGCGGTATTCGTTGTCCGTCGTGTCGAACTCATCCTTAAGGAAGGGGGGGGAGTACTGTTTTTTTTTCTTCCTTAATCTTTGTGAGTTTGGTTTTTTATCTTAATCTTTTACAACTTAACCATCATCATCAAAAGAAATCTGTCCTTGCAGTTTGCCCATGGCCGTTCTCGCACCACAAGATTGGCACCCACCTCGCGATCATACAACAATGGATTCACGTCCTCAACCAAACGAGCAACAGTCTAACATACCCATCCAACCTTATCCATACCCAGTTCAACAGCCTCATGGCAATTGGACTCCAAGTCCAAATGCTCAACCCTTTTACCCTTCTTACTACCAACAACAACAACAGCAACAACAACAACAACAGCAACAGCAACAGCAACAACAACCTCATCAAAATCCTTATTTCGATCCTCAGGCAAATGCTCAACTTGCTCAGTGGGCATATCAGCAGATGATGTATTCTCAACAACAACAACATCCTCGTCCTGATTACTTTAACCCAACCCAATTATTCTCCCCTTTTCCAAGTGGAACCCCCCCTCCTCATGCTCATCATCCAAGTTACCCCCCTCCTCAAGTACAACGTTCAGTATCATCAGATGCTGCTCAATATAATGGCTTTCATCCATATCGCCGTCCAAATAATACCCGTCCTCAAGAACATCAGGAATGGCGTGCCCAACCTCCTTATGCACGCGGTGAAGCTTCCGCTTCTACAACTTCTGTTAATTCCTCTTCCTCTCATGGCGGAGCATCACGCCAACGGACAACAAGCCAGGGTCAAGTTCCATCTCGTCCAAGGATCCCAACAACAACAGCAACAGAAAATCCACGTCAACGCACAGGAAGCAATTCCTCATCCACTAATAACCGTCCACACAACCGCACCCCATCTACCTCCTCTACAAACTCATCATCAACTCCACGCCCTTCCCTATCTAATCCTCCATCTAGGTCTTCCACCTCAACAGCTACAACTCCCCAATCCGCTTCTTCTTCCCATGCTCGTCCAGTCCGGCCCTCCCCGCTAAGTCAAGGCACATACACTGCTGCGGAAAAGCGTATGTCACGTGATGACTCCGATCTCGCAGCTATCCTCGAAGGTACTTCCATCGGTGCAAAAACAGGTGGCATCAAAGGCAGACTCCGTCGTGCACTCAGTCTCAATGCCGCTCAAGCCTTGCAAGAAGAGGAGGAACAACCCTCTGCCGGTGCAAGCACAACAAAAACCACTCCAACAACTCTCCCTGACCCTGACGCCGCCAGCACCGCCACAGTTCAGACCAAGAAAAAAGGTCGTGCAGCATCCTTGTTCAACTCCCGCCTCAACGCGAGCACAGACAACATCTCTCTTTCATCTACGATGTCCTCTGCTTCCGTCGTTATCCGCAAGATCGGCTCAATCGGAAAGCTCGCGAGGCGGAACAGCCTCGCAGGAATAACTTCCCTCTTCAAAGACAAGAACAAGTCCTCAGAAGGCACTGACGATAACGGCAAGAAGAAAAAGAAAAAAGAAAAGGACGCAAAAGGCGATCTCGTAGCTCCTGCTCTTTCCCACGCTGTTGCTGAGCTCGATCGTGGCGATTGGAGCAGTCCAGAGATGAGTGGATTGAGTCCTGCTGCTAAACTTGCCCGCCAGCACACACTCAAGAGTAATGCCGAAGCTGCTGCAGCAGCAAAGGTACGCGTCGAGCCCGTTCAGCCTCAGCCGAATGGGATCCATGTTCCTGCTGCGTGGGAGAAGAATACTGCTACAAGGACCGGCGAATCGAGTGCCAGGGTCAATGAGGATGGGACGAGGGTCTTGGTCGAGGAGGATGATGAGAGTGATGATGGACATGCCTATCCTGCTGCACGGAACTTTATATCGGAAGGCTGGGATGACGATGAAGTCTGGGACGAGGATGGAGAGGAGGACCTTACCATTCGTGTAGCGGGTGAAGACGAGGAGGTCGTTGCTTGGGCGACCAATATTAGGCGTAGCATCGAGCGTCAAAGAACGCCTGCAAAGGGCATCCTCAAAGGTGCGTATCGGGCAGATTGGACATTATTTACCCTGATCTTGTTCTAGGTGCTGATAATTACTCGCAAGAGGTGTATAATGGCGAGACCGTGGTGAACCCTGCTATTCGCGTACGCTCGAATTCATATAATTCGCATCCGGCGCAATCATCCGAGCTGGGTCCACTCGCTCGCATACCCTCTCCCGATCCAGACCATATCGATGGCCTGCATCGACACGCCTCGCATTCAAGCAACGCACCCGCAGGAGGTACGCCTCTCCCCACTAAATCATACCTATTTAACAATCCAGTAGAGAAAGAAAGGAGCATGTTCACCCTCTCCAACTCATCCGCCCCAGCCCTATCAACGATCCCTACGACCCCACCAACGCTGACCCACCGCTCAGCGACGACGCCTGCCAAAAGGCTCGTGTTTGCAAATAATCTGTCAGTTTATGATACGTTTTCGTCGGCCGTTTATGATCGTCGCAGCGAGCCTGCGACGTGGAGTCGATTGACGCCTGCGTTGGCGCAGCGCATTAAAGAGGAGCTCAATTCGTACAAGATGGAGGAGATGGAAGTGCATGCTTGTAGTCGGATGCAGTACGTTCTTCATCGTTTTGAGTGATTGTGTACTAATCAATCACTGCAGTACCCAATTTTTTATCTGAGCGGTTTGTTGCTGGTACCGGTGCTTGCTCGGTTCGATTTTTGGCTCGCTTTTATCTTTTATCTTCTCTTTTTCTTACTTTCCGATGCCTCGCCTACGTTTCTTTTCCTTGCACAACCACTTCTATCCCCCTGATCTAAAAACTCGGCATGAAGAGCATTCGCATTTTTACAAGCGGCTGCGCTGCACAGTACAGTACCTCATTAAAGCTGTCGGATCACACCGTGACATCCCTCATCACCCCCACGTGTTACAACCCATTTCTCCACGTCCCCATTTCACTTCAATTCACTTGTCTCTCTCTCATATACCCTCACGTGTAATACTATACGCGCGCGCGGGCGTTGCCAACCATCACACCACCACAACCAAACCCACTCTTTTGCAAATAGCTCTAGCTCTGCTACGTACGTACATTTGATATTTCTCTTTTTTGGACGCTTTTCTGCGTTGAGTTGGGAGTTGATTTGAGAGCGATGTGACTTTCTTTCATTTCTTTTTTTTTCATATATATACATGTCGCCATGCCATCGCTCCAATTGCAAGATAAGTAAAGAAGGTTTAAGTACATATGCTGACTTTCATGTTTAACATACATAGATACATACATACCGCATTGCAGGATCATTCGATTTCCAATGAATATGTTTATCATGCTTCACTTTTGAGAGGGACGCGATAATAGGCATATCTAGCTTTGTATAGTAAAATGTGCTTAATCTACATGGAGTGCTTGACAGAAAAGAAACGTGCTAGATAATAACGCCATCGCATGGGACGGACACCAGACATGGAACAATGGTCTTACTCCCAGGACGGTGACGTGCTGTACGAGTGACTGCGGCCGTTCTGTGCCGGACTTGAAGGTGACCATTGGGGTGACGTCGGGCTATAGGCGGGAGAAGCAGGGGCTAAAGAGAGGTTAGCGACGGTTAGGTTAGCAGCCAGATGAAGAATCTTACAATATGCAGGTGCTGCGTGATAGAATTTGGGATTAGAAGATGCAGAAATACGGTAGGGTGAGAGTACTCA